CCTCCGGGCACCGTGGGGGGCCCCTCAGTGCCCTCGCCCCGGCCCCGGCCCCAGCCTGTGCTCACCCTCGGGAGCCACCAGCACCTCCTCGGACTGCAGGGCCTCCCCGGGCCCCTCCGCCGTCACAGCCCGCACGCGGAAGGTGTACTTCTTGCCCTGCTCCGCGTGGGTGTCCGTGAACGTGGTGCTGTCTGCTGGGGTCTCGCCCAGCTTCAGCCAAGTGCTCCGGCCGGCCTGCTGCCTCTCCACCACGTAGTGCTCTAGGGCCCGGCCCCCGTCGTCCCTTGGGGGCCGCCAGCGGAGGCAGACGCCAGCCCCGTGGCAATCTTGTACTTCTAGGGGGCCCTGTGGGGGCTGGGGCTTGTCTGGGGACCCCCGAGAGGAGGAGAAAGAGATGGGGTCAGAGGACACAGAGCAGTGCTTGACTCCCCCATCAGTGGACGAGCCTGCCCGCGGGTAGAGGCCTAGATGGGCATTACCTAGAGGCGACCCTGGCCTCCACCGCTGACTCATGCCCCGCTTCTCCAGCCGGGGTGGGGTTGATGAGGAACACACCAGCCCCGAGCCCAGGCCCACCACACAGGCAGTCCCCTCCGGCCACAGGCAGCCCCACCTCACTGGCTCAGCTCAGGGCTGGGTCCCACCGCCCACCCCGGCGACCACCCCAGGGCCTGGTGTGTTAGCTGCAGGGAAATTTCCCCGTGGCGGGAGCCTGGCCCTTTATCTAAACTGCCTCTTCCTACCCAGTCTGGAGGGAGGCGGGGAGGCAGGGATATGTCTGGATCTTAAACAGCATGCAGGTGAGGGTCAGAGCCAGGGACTGCCTCCCATCCAGGGCCTGCCTCACTGCTGGGGAGGGATTGGCCCGGGCTGGGGATGGGGCCAGAAACGGGGTTGGGCTGGCACCTAGGACTTGCAGGGTGAGCTCGGCCTGCACGGAGCCGCCCTCGCTCCTCAGCGTCACGCTGTACTGGCCTCGGTCCTTCCTGTCGGCGCTGGGGAGGCACAGCCGTGTGAAGCTGTCCCCCACGACCACCTGGGCCCCTCTGCTGCCGCCGCCCGCCACCTCGGCCCCGTCCTTCCTCCAGGTGGCCTGAACCGGGAGGCGGCTCTGGAAGGGGACCTTCATGGTCGCTGGCTTCCCCGCCTTGACCACCAGTGGCTCCCTCAGCTTCTCTGTCACGTTTGGAGCGATGATCGGGGGGTCTGGCAAGAGGACGGGGCACGAGAGTCGGAGACGGCTGGCAGTGGGTGCCTGGGGGTGGGGATGGAGGGGCCCAGAGGAGGAAGCCCCCTCCCCACCTCAGACTGAGGGTGCCATCTGACACGGGCTGCAGGCCTGCGACACATTCAGTGTTTAGAAGTGGAGGATGTTGCCTGGCAAAGAGGCCACCTGGCAGGACAGGGCAGGGCTTGGCCTTACCGCGGACGGTCAGTGTGGCCTCACTCTGCTGGTTGCCGGCCACGAAGGAGTACCTCCCGGCCTGGGTCCCCTGCACATGGGCGATGAGGAGCCTGTGCGCGAGCCCATCCTGCTCAAAGATGACTCCGTCCTGGGTGCTGAGCTGTTACGGACACAGAGGAGCTGGTCATCCCACCCCTGTCCAGCTGCTCCTGCCACCAGCCTGGGCCTTTACTGATGCAACTGAGGGAATGGACTGACCGCTCATCATGTGTCAGGCTGGTGCCAACCACCACCCCCCTGGCCTGTGTTCAGTGCCTCATTAATGGTTCCAGTGACCTGATGAAGCAGGTACTCTGAGTTGACCCATTTCACAGATGGGGAAACCAGAGGCCATGTCAGTGGTTAATGGCCGAGCTGGGGTCAGCCAGGTCCAGCTGTGCTCTGAAGCACTGTGACGTACACCCTCCTGAGATGACGACTAGAAGGGGGCTGCTCAGAGAAAGAAGAGCCTGTCCGGCTGGGCTGAGAATATAGCATTTGTACAGGACCTTGAAGGACAGGTAGACCTCAGTGGGGGCTGGGACAGGAAGGCAGTTTGGGTGGTAGAGGGTGGGCAAGGGGTGTGTTTAGGGAGGAGTGAGTGGGGTACCCACCCATTTTAAAATCACTTTTATTTTAAGCACACCAAGTTGTTGGCTATTTAAGCTTCTCCCCGAGTAGGTGTGTTGGTACAACAAGGAATGAAAGCTCTTTGTTGCAAAGCCCCTCCCCTCTCCTCCGCTCCCCTCCCCTCCCCTCCCCTCCTCTGCTTCACCCGTCCCAGCCAGCAGACTGGTCCGTGAAGCCGGGGGCAGTACCTTGACACCATCCTTAAACCAGGCTCCAGGCCCCAGGTCACGGGTGAGGGTGCAGGAGAGCACGGCGTCCTCCCCCTGCTGCACCTCCGTGTCAGCCAGGCCCTGGGAGAAGTGGCCTGCGGGGCCTGGGGAGACACAGGGGAGAGTCGGGGCCAGGCACTCAGGGATCCCCCACGGCCCAGCCTCCTAGGCCACGGCCTGTGCGGCACCCTGGGAGGCCACATGTCCTGCCACCTGGGCTCAGCCGGTGCCAGCAGGGCCAGACCGCCCATTTTTCTCTGCAGGGCCTAGGCTGGTGCTGGAGATCTGGGGTGCAACGTAAGTGATGGGCCTTGGAGTCACGCAGAGGGAAGTCTGGGTAACCCTCAGAGAGTTAGTTCAGCAACTCAGTGCTTTGGACATAGGGTATCAAGACAGACACCCAGGAGGGTGCTGAGCCCCGCAGCCGGGATCCCACCTGCACAGGAGGAAGAGGCTGCTTCCTAAATTGGGAAATGAGCACTGGCAATGGGAAGCACTGATGGGGGCAAACTCCTGGGGCTGGAGGCAGGTTAGGGACCGGCCCAGGCACCCCAGTGTCCAGAGAGTGTCCCTGGAACAACACCTACCTCGAGCCTCCTCGGAGAAACCACCAGCGCCAGGCTTGTGTCTGGATCTGGGACTGCGGGCGGCATCGCTTCTCTGGCCATGGGCGTCCAACCCGCCCTCTTGGCCGCCTCTCCTGCTGCCAGCATGGCTCGGGGGCTCCCCCGGGCACACCCCATCCTCTCCTCCAGGCAGCTGCTCCAGGCCTCTCGTTGCTGGTCCAACCTCGACCCTTGACCACGTCTGAGTCCTACTCCTGAATGGGCCGGGCCTCCTTTCTGGCCCGCCAGACTCCTCTGCACCACGGCCCTCATGCTCCTTTAGGGCACCTGGACCTTGGGCTCTGTCATCCTCAGCCTCCAGGGATGCCTGCCCCACTAGGGACCCCCTTCCTCCCCTCTGTCCTTTTTCCAGCTGCGAGCCAGGCCCCTGGATCCCCCCTGATCTGTCTGCAGAGTCTTTTCTGCCAAGGAGACCACCTAGGCCCTCCCTGGCTCCCTGGCGCCCCAGACCCCCAGGCTTCTGGGTGGGGTCATTCTCCCCCTGCGCAGAAGCCCCCCTTCTCGGGACACCTGCGTCCCCTGGGCCGCTAGCCCTGCCCCGTCCCAGACCAGAAGCTTTGCCATCCAGAAACCCTGGGCTTTGCCCACCCCAGCCCCCAGAACCCTCAGGCCCTTCATGGGACCCCCCAAAAGTGGCATCTTCCTCCTGCCGGGAGCTTGAAACCCTGGAGCCTGGGGGCCCACCCCTGGCACCCGTGCTTCCTTGGCCAGACCCCTGGTCTTCCCAGCCTGGGCCCCAAGAGTCGCTGATCCCACGCCCATCAGCAGACCCTAGCATTGATTCGCCCATTTTCCTGGGCATCTGGCCGCTGTCTAGACTGTGGCCTGCACCTGCTGAGCCCCCCACCCCTGCCCCAATCCTCCTGCCTCCCAGGGGTGTGGTCCCAGGACCCTGAGGTCCCAACCCACCCTGGCCAGTTGCTGGACCCCGTCTGCTGTCCCTGGCCCTGCTTCCCAGAAGTCAGGATCATGCTGTGATTCCAGAGCAGCGGTCCCTGCCCAGGTCTTGCCCTGCACTGCCCCCGGACCATCAGGAAACCCAGAAGCTCCCACACCCCTTGCACGGCCTGCAGCCCTGCCCTTCTCACTGGGAGCCTCTCTGTACCCAGGGGACTCTCGGAGCCCAGAGCCCTTCTGCCGCCCTCTGATGCCTGACTGTCCCTCAGAGCCAATAGCCCCCAGCGCCTCAGGGCTGCCCAAGGAGCCAGAGGCCCCCAAGCCACTTACAGAGCCCTTCCCATCCAAAAGAGCCTGCGGTCCTTCG